CTTCTCCCCTCACTAATCCACCCACCCCTCTCCTCTTTGAATTTCAGGGCGGGCTACGTTTCACCATAATTACCAATCAAAACATCATACCCCCTCCGTCTAGGTGTGTAAGTCATCTTACGAAAATCAAATATTCCCAAAACACTTAGGCGCGGTGCATTAAATTCTATCTCGTTTTTTGTTTCTTGACATATCAACCAATAAAAGTTGTGGGATGTGCATGGTTTTAATGACTTGAGACTACCAAACACGACATGCAGTGGTTAGTTCATTGCATCCAATGCTATTAATTAGCAAATAAATATTAAGTACTCTCGTTTTCCCTTCCTCCTTGGTCACGGTGCACAACCTAAGATGACTTACTCACCTAGACGGAGGGAGTAGTACATCATCTCTATTCCGACGTCATTAATAGTCATAGCATTTTATATTGTACTTCCTCCGTTCCTAAATATAAGTCTTTGTAGAGATTCCACTAAGTGGACTACATATAGAGCAAAATGAATGAATCTAAACTTTTATTATTTTCAGTGTTCGTTGTACTATCATGATTAAAGATGAATAGATTGAAAGTTTTCCCTGAAAAAAATAATTAAAATGCATCTATATACATCCGTATGCGGTTTACAGTGAAATCTCTACAAAGACTTACATTTAGGAACAGAGGGAGTATATAATTACAAATTTGCAGATAATCGCCGTCTCTCTTCCTCCTTCCCTTTCGGCCTCGTCCCTTAAAGGTATTGCCACATGACAATTGGATTTAGTTATCCCTTCCAATGTTACTCGACAAAAGCAACAACCAATGACCACACGACTTAGGACCATCCAAAAGTGGTAAATTACAACGTGTGATTTCCCCAACAGACCTTACGGGGTGCATGAAACTCAGTATAGAAATCATTGTTGAGAAAGTTTGACATGACGAACAACACTTGATTTCAGTTAGCTTAGGGAGTATTGCCTATTCTTTCCTACCTCCTCTTGTCTCATTTTCACATAGGGTGCATCACATAAATTCAAGTATTTTTGCACATTTGTTTTATAGTTATAGTTTAATGGAACTTGTTGACGCACTAATAAATTTGAATGCACTATTTCTTTTACTACTAATGCATTATATTTAAATGAAAAGTTTGTAGTTAGTAATTTATGCACTTATGTACCCATGGAAATTCTCCATATAACATTATAAAATATCTAAACTCACGTACTCGAGTTTAACAGTATTTGAAAGTAGGATGAAATGGTCCTTTTGTAGCTCATTTACTAATATAATTGATGCAAAGCTACGTGATGGTATTTTGAACACCCGCAAGGGTATATATTATTTATGGCTAGCCGGATTTGTAAGAGCATTGGGCCCATTTTCACAATTTAGAAAGATGACTTGAAAGCTTTACCCCAAATTTGTTGATACATATGTGCTGGTATGTATAGATAGGACCACTAGCTACAACTCCACAAATTGTCCGAAAAGCAAAGGTAAGCCACTTTCCACTAGTTGTCTAGCTTCAGTGCTTCCCAAAAATTACCAGCTCTGATTGTTTAACATGAATTTAGTTCAACTTATCTGAACATGCATCCTTGCTAGTGACCAAATTATGAAATGATAGGGGGTGCTAATGGCAATTTTCTTTGGCTAAAGTGGACGAGGATGTGAGCCACATCTTGTTTTCCAGCACATTAGCTGAAATCTTGTGGGGCTATGTCAAGGAACTTGTAATCTATGATGAAAATCTTCTCAATTTGGTAGACCTTTTCGCCATTCTTTAGCGCCTTTTGTAATATGTATGTTGTATCTTGTGACCGGGCTTGACAAGATATAATTTGGTGCTCTTAAGTTTTGGAAGTGAACTTACCATTAATAATGCTCATATATTCACAACTTTAGAAGTTATACCCGAATATAAGCGGCAAGAGCATGCCGGAGACAATGATGGTGATGCTTAGGACTCCAAGCTCATCCAAATTAAAGACCACTGAGAGGATCCCAGACTTAATCTTTATTTCAGTTGTGTTGGAACTCGCTCTCCGTGATTTGTTTTCTGATGTTATTTCAAGTTGATGATGTTGATACCAGATGTACAACTAAACATGTTTGTGTTAGGGCTTTATTAATTTAAAGCCGGACATCGTATATGTCTTTCGTCAAAACAGCTTACTCTAGCTTATCTAGCCACACAAATCAACAACTAGCTTGGGTGACTATCGAGTGGTGCCACACTTCTTTTGTGTGTGGGAATAGTGACACTACACCTTAGGTGTTACCATCACACTGTAGCACCTCTAAGAAGTTACAAATAATTATGAATGTCGAGAAGATATATGTCTACAATTCCACAAAAATTTCAAATTCAATTTCGAGAGATCTACACGCAGAAAACAAAAAGACCAACGTGAATAGTGTCACAAAAGATAAAAAAAGTTAGACACCACCATTTACATAAGACCCCAATAGCTGGCGAACGTTTCCCAAGAAGGGATAGCATTTGCGAACATTTTCCCTGTCAGTTTTAGTTATACAGGGATGGCATTTTATTCAGAAAAGGATGATTGTTTTTTAAAGAAAAAAACAAAAAACTGCCACTGTGTGGTTTTGATCAGACGGCTGTGGGGGGTGTTCCCTGGAACCTCCTCCCAAGGGAACATTGCCCCGATAACATTACCGTTTACCTATGGATTTGCCTTTTTTGGATTTTATGTGTTGAAAAAATTTGGATTGAATATTGTAGGATATGTGTTATCA